TGCCAGAGCGCATCCCCGCAGGGCCGCCTTCCGCTGGCCTTGCCCCCTTAGGGACCTGCCGGGAATGGGAGCCGGGTGGTGGGGACACGCCGCGAGCAGCCGTCCCAAGGTGAGGCTGGGCCGAGGGCTAGGGGTCCAGGCCTGGCCCTGGGGCTGCAGGCCGCTCAGAGTCCCGCCTCTTCCTGGGACCTGCCGTCCTGCTCCGTGTCCTCTCAGACACCCACATCACAGCCTCCCCAGGGTTTTGTTTTATTATTATTTAATAAAAAAGTCTTATTGATTTCAGAGAGGACGGGAGAGACAGAAACATTAATGATGAGAGAGAATCACTGACCTGCACGTCTCCTACTGGGGAGGGAGCCAGCCACCCGGGCACGTGCCCTGACTGACCTGAGCCGGCTGAGTGTGGAATCGAACCGTGACCTCCTGGTGGAGAGGCCGACGTTCAACCCCTGAGCCGCGCGGGCCGGGCCTCCCGGGGTTCTCACCCGGACGACGTGCTGTGGGCTCTGCCAGAGGCGGGTGTCGCTTTCAGAATAGCCACCTTCCTGGGGTGGGATGAGTTCTCCGTCAGGCCCCTGCCGCAGCATTCACTTCAGACCCACGTTTAAGGGGAAATGCCACACGGATCCCTGTGGTGCCACCTTCACCTACAGACCAGGCTAGTCAGATGCTGGGCGACTTTGCAGAGACAGCAAATAGCAAACCAACGTCCCCTGCACAATGTCAGGGTGGAGGCAGGACCCTGTAGTTCAGCGGTTCTCAACCTGTGGGTCGCAACCCCTTTGGGGGTCGGTAGAACGGCCCTTTCACAGGGGTCGCCTAAGACCATCGGAAAACACATACATAATTATATATTGTTTTTGTGATTAATCACTATGCCTTAATTATGTTCAATTTGTAACAATGAAATTGGGGGCCCCCACAACATGAGGAACGGTGTTAAAGGGTCGCGGCATTAGGAAGGTTGAGAACCACTGCTCTAATGCCACACCCCATCAGCCTCCTGAGTCCCCGAAGTCTGGCAGGGCCCGGCGGCCTCGTGGGACTGACTGGGTGACCAGCCTTTTTCTGCTGCCCTGGGAGGCAGGCAGGGGGCAGGGCACAGGTGTGATGCAGCAGGTGCGGCCGGAGACGGGCATGGAAACCATGAAGGTCCCGGCTGGTGTTGCTCTGTGGGTTAAGCACTGTCCCAGGCACCACAAGTACTGGTCCGGCCTGGCCGGTGTGGCTCAGTGGATGGACTGTCGGCCTGCGGACCGAAGGGTTCTGGGTTCAATTCCAGTTGAGGGCACATACCTGGGTGACAGGCTCCACCCTGACCCTGGCCCTGGCTCTGGTTGGGGCGGGCTCATGCAGGAGGCAACCAATCGATGTGTTTCTCTCACGTCGATATTTCTCTGTCTTTCCCTCTCTCCCACTCTCTCTAAAAATCAATGGAAAAAATATCCTTGGGTGAGGATTTAAAAAACAAAAACAAAAAAAAGGAAAGTATACTGGTTTGATTCCAGGTCAGGGCACATGCCTGGGTGTGGGCCTGATCCCCAGTGGGGGGTGTGCAGGAGGCCACAGATGGATGGTTCGCACATCGCTGTTTCCCTTTCACATCAATGTCTCTCTCTCTCTCTCCCCTCCCTTCCTCTCTATAAAAACATAAAAACATATTAAAACAAAACACAACTGTGAGGGTGTGGCCTGAGCGTCACTGAGAAGGATTCCTTAGAAGGACGCCTGCTGAGAGGGTGGCCTAAGCTTTCTACGTCCACTGACAAATACTTTCTTAGAGTAAGCTGGTCATTGGGATGGAAGATTCTTTTTAGCAACGTGTGATATGATAGCGAAGCATAGTTCATTTTAAATGAGCGAGTGTCCTCATTAAATACACAATAATGTCCACGTTAGGGACACATCCACAAGCTTATTCTCTAAGTTTCATATAAACAGTGGAACAATGGGGGAAAAACTGTAAAAATGTTCTGTTTAGGTATGTGTACGGTCGAGAAGAAATTGATAATCTTCAGGGGAAATGCTTGTACATTAGATGGAACTCAGACCTGTTCCCACTAAAATATGTCCTGAGGACAATGGAGAAGGAACCTACTATGACCCCCCCCCCCCCCTCCCGCCAGCACAGCCCTATCCCTGGCTGCTCCTTCTGTCACCAGCGGTGGTGACAGACTCGGGGGGGGGGGGGGCTGCTCTGGGAGGTACCATCCCTCCCGCAGGACCCCTCACCAGTGGGCGTTATTTTTTAAAATGTTTTTATTGATTTCAGGGAGAGGGAGAGGGAGAGAGACATCAGTGATCGGCTGCCTCCTATACGCCCCCCACTGGGGACCGAGCCCACAACCCGGGCATGTGCCCTGACTGGGAATGGAACCATGACCCCCTGGCTCATGGGCCGATGCTCAAGCCATACCACCTGGCCCTGATGGGGGCCACTTCATGTCATGGGGACGGCTCCCCACCCCGTGCCATGGGACCCAGAGCAAGCACACCCGGGCGGGAAGTCCCTTTGGAAACCCCGACTCGGCCGAGGGGCTCGGGCGCACGTCACAGAGGACAGGAGGTGCCCCGTGGGCTGACTCCCCACCACGGTTGTAAGGGGAAATGGCATAATGGGGCCTCCGGTGGCAGGAGTGGGGCTGGGGGAGATGGAGCTGCCTCTAGGGAGTTTCTTCAGCACCATTTGGAAAGGGCCCGGCTCTGCCATGTGGGGCCACGTGTCCTGGGACTGGGACGTCTGCTCTAGCTAGTGTTTAAGTGGGTCGTGTTGTACGGCTCGAGAATGAATCTATAAATGTCCACAGGGCCCCCGGCAGGAAGCAGGCTCCCGCCCCTGCGTTAAAGTGTGCCACTCCCTGCCTTAACGCTTAGTCGGTGAAGACGGGAAGACCCCCGGGCTGCCTGGGACCCTATCCAGGCCAAAGTGTAAAGAAAAAAGCACAGAAATGTTCAGAGGATGAGCCAAGTGCGAGCCGGCCTCGGGTTTTATTAAGGTTCGTGTGCATTTGGGGGGAGACAGGCCAGTGGGTCTCCATGTTGACCCGCCCAGTCCCCCGCATGACTCGGCCGAGGCCCTGGGACCATGCCAGGAGCTGCGCCAGACCCGGCCGGTCCCCTGTCATCACTCGGTCCCTGCGGCCGGCGTCCTCCCCCTTCAGGTGCACAGGCCCCGAGAAGCGGGGGGAGGGGGGGGCGCAGCGATAGCATCCTGGCAGCCACACAGCTGAGCAAACAGCGGCCTGTCCTGTGAGCTCAGCGTCCCGGGACCCAGGGCGGGCAGGGCTCCGGTGACGCTCAGCGTTTCTCACGGCTCCCCGCGACCTCAGCCGGTGCCTCCCACCTCGCAGCTAGGCCAACGAGTTATTGTTGAAGATGTCTGGGAGGGAGGGAGAGAGAGAGAGAGAGAGAGAGAGAGAGAGCGAGAGAGAGAGAGAGAGAGAGAGAGAGAGAGGGAGAGAGAGAGAGCGAGAGAGAGAGGGAGAGAGAGAGAGCGAGAGAGAGAGAGAGAGAGAGAGGAGAGAGAGAGAGAGGAGAGAGAGAGAGAGGAGAGAGAGAGAGAGAGAGAGAGAGAGAGAGCGAGAGAGAGAGAGAGAGAGAGGGAGAGAGAGAGAGAGAGAGCGCGCATTGAATGCCGCCTTTCCAGCTTGGAGACACTTATTTCCAAGAATAATCACAGAGCGTGTTAGTAACAGGAGCAGGAAGAGCAGGACAAGCAGACAGACACACACACAGGCGCGCACATACACGCACACACATGCACATACAAACACACACACACACACACACACACACACACACGAGCGCGCGCGCTCAGCCCTGGGCACTCAGGCCCAGGCCGGTGTGAGGAACGCCGAGAGAACCAGGAGGTGCTGGGGAAGGGGCTACGTGTGCTGCCCTCTCACGTGAGAGGTGCAGGCGTCTGGGGAGACCCCGAGCCGGAGCCGGTGGGGCTGCCTCCTGCCTTTCTCCTCCTCGGGAAGCCAGGGCATCCTGGGTTCCAGGCCGCTGCGCCCCCTTCCCGGCAACGGAGCCCCAGGAAGGCTGTGACGCCTGGGGAAAGGTCTTTGCTGGGATTATTTTGTAATTCGCCCGCAGGGTCTCCCAGGCCTGCCAGGCCCTCTGGGTGTGGGGGTTGACTATTCATTTGATGTGGGTTGGCTGCCTTTTGCTGCCCGGGGGCTTTGGGGAGAGTAGCTTCCCTGAGGTTCCCAGACACACAATTCCAAGAGGGAGCCGTGCAGGGCTCAGAGGGGCCTGGGCTCTGCGGGGAGGTGCCCTGCCCTGTGCCGCACCTGCTGGGGCTGCGTGGGAGGTAAGGGACTGGGGGAGACTGCAGGATAGTGCCGCCCGGGAGCACATGGAACAAGGCGCCCTGGCCAGTGTTGGTCAGTGGTTAGAGCGTCCTTCCCCCCCCCCCCCCCCCCCACACACACACAGAGGGTCCAGGGTTTGATTCTGGTCAAGGGCATGTACCTGGGTTGCAGGCTCCTCCCCAGCCTGGGCCCTGGTTGGGGCGCATGCAGGAGGCAACCAGTCGATGTTTCTATCTTTCTCTCTCTCCCACTCTCCCTAGAAATCAATGGGAAAATAGCCTCAGGTGAGGATGAACCAAAAAGTAAAGCAACTGAGGAAGGTCAGCCGTGCCTTCCCGAGGTGCGGGCTTTACCTGGAGTCCATTTACGGGGTGAACACGAGAGACGGGACCGCTCAGCGCTGTCCCCCAAATGCTGCCATGTCACACGTGGAGCCCATTTCCTGCACGGAGCTCCCCTTCGCAGGCCCCCACATCAGTGTGTGTGTGTGTGGGGGGGGGGGGGGGGTGAGGGCATTTTAAATCCGTTATTCTGTAGGCGGTCAGCACAGTCCGGCAGGAAGAAGTCAGGGTCCCTCCCACGGACTGGGCGGCTGGACCTGAGCTGTGATGGGGAAGTGTGGTGACCCCGCCCACACAAACAGCCCAGACGCACAGGCTCACGCTTCCTCTCCCCCCACAGGAGCCCCGGAGGATGCTGTGGAGGAGAGGGAAACACCTGCCCCCCAGAGGAAGCCACAGACCAGGGCCCAGGGCGGCTGAGTGACCTGCGCCTGATCCTGTTTTTCCAGCGCGCACCTGGCGAGTGAGGGATGGGCTGGCCGCCGGGGGACCGGCAGATCGGGCATGTCACCAGAGCTGCTGACACCGGACACAAGGCCACGCTGCCCGGCTGACGTGTGACCCCGAATGACAAATGGCAGCCCCTGAAAGAGGAAGCTCCCGGGGGCCTCTATACAAGAGACGGAGTTAAGGCCGAGTTCGGAGGTGGACACCCCCTCTCAGACCCTTGGTTCCTCGGGCTGCGAGGTGATGGAGTGTAAAGCAAGGACGCTGGACACAGGAGGGGGCGCGCCGGGATTGGTCCGGTGCACCTGACAGCCCAGGAGCGCAGAGAGGGGGCCCCGGAGGCGCAGGGCCAGCCAGGACTGCCCAGCACTAACTGAGGCCTCACCACCCCGCTGGAGGCTGAGGTCACCTTAGCAGGCGCATCTAGGGCGGGCGCGCCCTCTTTGAAGGAGAGGAGGGTGGGGAGGGGTCGAGGAGAACCTCCTGGGAGCAACAAGCAGTGGAAGCAGGAGTCACATCTGAGCGCGCGCCAGGAGAGCCCACCGAGGCCCGAAGCCCCCGGGGAACCCTCGCCCTTGAGCCACCCAAGGTCATGGTGGGCTCCTGAGGGGCGGGGCGCTGCCATGGAGAACCCGGTGGCCCCCCGTGTCCTCTACCCCGGGGATGACCCGGGCCAAGGGCCGGATCCCAGGGGCACCTTGGCGCCGGGAGCGCGCCGCCAGGCAGGGGGAGGCGGCAGCGCGCCCGAGGCTCCGGGAGAGGGCAGCCTGCAGCCGCCGGACGCGTCCTGGGGGGAGGGCGCCTCGTCCCCGTCCCGGTCCCCGTCCCCGGCGCAGTCACCCTGCAGCCTGGGCGCCTCCCTGTGCTTCAGCTCCGGGGACGAGTCCCCGCCGCAGTCCCGCGCTTCCGCCGCCGAGGGCGCAGCGGCCTCCCCGCCCCCGTGCCGCAGCGGCCAGCGGGTGGTGGAGAGGCAGTGGGAGGTCGGCAGCGCCGCGTCGCCGGAGGAGCCCTCGTCCCTGGAGGAGCCCGCGTCCCTGGAGGAGGCCGCGTCCCCGGAGGAGCCCGCGTCCTTGGAGGAGCCCGCATCCCCAGAGGAGCCCGGGGACCCCGCGCCTCTGCCCCCCGGCGTCGGGCCCGCGCACGGGGAGCCGGACCTGGTCATCGAGGTGTCGGGCCGCCGGCTGCGGGCGCACAAGGCGGTGCTGGCGGCGCGCAGCGACTACTTCCGCGCGCGCGCGTCGCGGGACGTGCTGCGGGTGACGGGCGTGGGCTGGGCGGCGCTGCGGCTGCTGCTGGCCTACGCGTACAGCGGGCGCATGGCGGGCGTGCGGCCCGACAACGTGGCCGAGGTGGTGGCGGGGGCGCGCCGCCTGCAGCTGCCCTGCGCCGCGCAGCGCGCCACCGAGGCCGTGGCGCCGCAGCTGAGCCTCGCCAACTGCCTGGAGGTGCTGAGCGCGGCCAAGCGGCAGCGGCTGACGGAGCTGCGCGACGCCGCCTACGGCTTCATGAGCGACCACTACCTGGACGTGCTGCGCGAGCCCGCCGTGTTCGGGCGCCTGTCGGGCGCCGAGCGAGACCTGCTGCTGCGCCGCCGCCTGGGCGCCGGCCGGGCCCGCCTGCTGGCCGCCGCGCTGGGGCCGGCCGGGGAGCGCGCGGGCAGCCGTCCGCAGAGCCCGTCGGGGGACGCGGAGGGCCGCGGGGACGCCGCCGTCTACTGCTGGCACGAGGCGGCCGGCGAGTGGCGGGAACTGACGCGGCTGCCCGAGGGCGCGCCGGCGCGGGGCTGCGGCCTGTGCGTGCTCTACAACTACCTCTTCGTGGCCGGCGGCGTGGCGGCCGCGGGCCCCGACGGCCGCGCGCGGCCCTCGGACCAGGTCTTCTGCTACAACCCGGCCACCGACCGCTGGAGCACCGTGCGGCCGCTGCGCCAGGCGCGCTCGCAGCTGCAGCTGCTGGCCCTGGACGGCCACCTGTACGCCGTGGGCGGCGAGTGCCTGCTGAGCGTGGAGCGCTACGACCCGCGCGCCGACCGCTGGGCCGCCGTGGCCCCGCTGCCCCGCGGCGCCTTCGCTGTGGCGCACGAGGCCGCCATCTGCAACGGCGAGATCTACGTGTCCGGGGGCTCGCTCTTCTACCGCCTGCTCAAGTACGACCCGCGGCGCGACGAGTGGCAGGAGTGCCCGGGCAGCAGCGGCCGCGAGCGCTCGGCCGACATGGTGGCGCTGGGAGGCTGCATCTACCGCTTCGACCTGTGCGGGGCCCGCGGGGAGGCGCCCGCGGCCGGGCAGCCGCAGGCCGGCGGGGCACGCGTGCTGCGCTACCACTGCGTGGCCAAGCAGTGGAGCTGCCGCGCTGCGTTTCTGAGGCTCCCGGGCGCGCCGTCGGGGTGGGGCCAGCAGCCCTTCCGCTGCGCGGCGCTGGGCGGCAGCATCTACTGCGTGAGCCGCGCGGGCACCTGGCGCTTCGTGCCTCCGCGGGATGGCGAGCCCGGCGGGGACGTGGCCGCGGAGGACAGCGTGGAGGCCGAGGCGCTGAGCGGCCCCCTGGACGTGCGGGGCGCGCTCTTCCCCTTCGTGCTCAACCTGCCGGAGAAGCTGGACAGAGGCGAGGAGGGCGCTGCGTAGGATGGGCCGGGTCCCCTGGGAGTCTCCTGCCTCACCCCCTGGGCAGGGAAGGCCTCCTGGGCCCAGGTTCCCACGAGGAGTGGAGGAGGGAGAGAGAGAGTCGCGGGTAGGGCGCTGCCACCGGCTTATTGAAAGCTTTGGAGTTGGGAGCTGGCGGCTTGGCCTCTAGGACTTCGCGCTGCTGCTTTAAGGCGGGCCTCCCCACTGCGCATTCCCTTTCCCTTCGCTTTGCTTAGCTTTGCCCTTGGGGTCAGGTGTAGGTTGTGCGCACGCAGGTAACCTCCCAGAGAGACAGCGTCCCAGGGGGATGATCGAAAGGGGATGCCTCAGGGCAGGTGAGCCGGCACCCGCGGGGCACCCAGAGGTCCCTGCGTGCATAGGACGCAGAGTGGGGTCCCAGGGGCACCTTGGCTTTCGCGATGAGCAGCCGCAGGGAGTTGGCAGGTCAGGTAGGCCCAGGTGAACTCTATCTGCGAGAGGAGCCACAGCTGTTGGCCTGGAGGGTTAAGGTGGTCACTGCTGAGTAAAGCTTTTTTTTAAAAAAATATATTTCTGTATTGATTTCAGAGAGGAAGGGAGAATGAGAGAGACATAGAAACATCACTGAGAGGGAATCATTGATCGGCTGCCCCCTGCACGCCCCCTACTGGGGATCGAGTCCGCAACCCTGGCATGTGCCCTTGGTCAGAATCGAACCTGGGACCCATCCGTCCACAGGCTGACGCTGTATCCACTGAGCCAAACAGGCCAGGGCATGAGTAAAGCTCTTAAGCCCTTTTTCACCCACTAAGTCAGAGGGGTTCCTGCCGACACTGCTCCCGTTTTGGTGGAGCCTTTGTTGAGGGCTACAATCTCTCTCTCTCTCTCTCTAAAATATTTTTATAGATTTCAGAGAAGAAGGGAGAGGGAGAGAGAGAGAGAAACATCAGCAGTGAGAGAGAATCATTGATGGGCTGCCTCCTGCATGCACCCCCCACTCCCCACTGGGGATGGAGCCCACAACCCAGGCATGTGCCCTGACCCGGGGAATCGAACTCTGACCTCCTGGTTCATAGGTGGACGCTCAGCCCCTGATCAACGTCTGTGTTTCATGATGGACTCAAAGAAAGAATTGTTCCCCAAAGAAGGTGAGGCCCATGGCTGCTGCCCGTGCTGAGGGCGAGCACGCGCCCCTGGGACCCGGCCAGGGTGCTCAGCGCGGATTACGGGATTCTGGGGAGGGGGGCGGATTTTTGAGAACATCGCCCTCAGAACATGTGGCAGAGTGACAGGCAGCTTGTGGCCTGAGGGGCCAGCACAGGCATGTGCACGGCAGGTCTGCAGGTGGACGCTCATGTTCCCCAGTTGTTCACGTGCCACTCACTGCTCCACAGAGCGCGAGGACTGACAGGCAGTCGGCTCTCGCTCCTTGGTCACATGACACCGGACGTTTCAGAGACGGACAGACAGGGCTTCCTGTCGGCTGGACTTGGAGGATGAAATACTTGCTCCGATGACCTCGTGCCCAGCTCGGTATTGCTTACCTGTTAGCCCCGTGGAGGGAGCCAGGTGGCAGCCTGTGTGGCAGTCGGGGGCAGTGGGAAGGGGCTGGGCTCTGTAAGCTCTGTGGTTACGAGAGTTACCAGTTGATATGTTTGGACATGACCAGCTTGATCGAATCTGGAGCTTGTGCCAGAGGGAGGGGGTGACTGACAAGCTCCGTGAGAGCGGAGGGGACGGTGCTGGCTCGTGCACCGAGGAGGGACACGGGTCGTGCTGCCGGGCTGCGCTGGCCTTTACCACAGGAGACGGGAATCGCAGGGCAAGGAGCTCACGGCGAGGGAAGACCCCGTGTTCTTCTACAGGCGCCCCTTTCGCAGCGCGGCACCCCTCTCTGATCTGAGAGCCTCATGACGTGTGCGAACGTTTCTCTGTGACCAGGGACAGGCTGATGCTTCCAGTCCTTAAACAGCGACCACACGGCTACCGCTGTGCCGTTCCTTCGGAATCCTTCCTAGGAAGTTGACGGTTTCAGAGCCGAATGCCAAACTGGGCTTCCAGAGAGCTGGTCCCCGGAGGGCCGGGCGTCAGGTGGGGCGGCCGCACCGTGACGCCCAGGAGCCTCGCTCAGTTTAGATGAGGCGTAGCCTGCGCTGGGCGAGGCGCCCCTTTCTGTGGTCTTGGGGCCCGGGGGTCTGTCGGTGGAACACAGGACACGCAGAGGGCCCGTGGAAGGACGCAGGCTACTGTGTCACATTCCTAACCAGAACGTCTCAAAACGGACCCGAGAGGCCCCGCAGGCCGCGGGGACCAGTTTGTTTTGCTTTGGGGGCAGTTCTGGGGGTGAAGCCGCAGGTTTGCACCAATGAGGCAGGAAAGCGCCAGCCGGGCGTGTTGCTGGAGATGCGGGGGGTGGGAGGGTGGCCCCTGAGCACTGCCGGCCCAGGAAGGATGTGTCCCATGCGACGTGATGTTCGTAGCCCCGCTCCAACCCGACTTTGAAAAGCAGTTGGTGGGAAACGATTTCCCACCCTGGATCCATCGTCCAATGAGGTGCATGCGCCCGTGACACCCGCCCCCTCCTGCCGGGGAGACTGGACCGGGGCATGATCGTCCCCCGTGTGGACAAGCAGGGACTGTGCTGTCAGCCAAGGTTCACGTGGCACCCCAGGGCGCGGCCGGAAGCATCTTCGTTTTCTTCCTGTTTTCGCCCCTGGACTTGGGACGGGCCCAGCTCTGTGCTTGGAACGTGGCGATTTCACTCGCGCCCCCTGCCCGTTCGGAGAACGGAGCCGTGGGAATCCCTGGTGCTCCGTGAACACTGACCACCCGCACTCGCTTCGCTGCACACACCCAGAACGCGGCCCCTCGGCTCCGTTTCTGTTCGTCCCGATGTCCTCAGGGAGGCCGGGGGCAGCGGCTCACCTGCTGGTCTCGGGGTCCCGACCTCCTGCGAGAGTTTGGGAGGGAGCGTCCTGGGGCGTCTGCCTGGGGGGTCGCCACCCCCCCCCCCCCGACCTGACCTGTGGTAACCCCAGCGTGGCTGAATGTAAACGAACGTGTTACTTTGTGTCTGTCTTGTTTCAGGCCCTTCCTCGCTTACAAAATGCTTTATTTTGGGTTAAAAAATGAATGTTCTTATCTCCCCTCCCCCCGTGTTGCCGTTCATGAGGAGCTGGTGGGAGCTCAGGGGGCGGGGGGCAGGGCGTGGCTGCCTCTGACTGTGTGTGTGGGTGGCCGTGCCCCCTCCTCACCCCCCCAGGGCCGGGCCCCGGCTGCGCCAGCCCCAGCGCCCCGCTGGCCACCAGGCGCCTCCCACGGGCTTCGGGACGCGCTGGGAAGGGACCGGACGCGGAAGGCTCGGCGCGCTCACGTGGGCTGGAGTGTCCCACGCGGCCGGCTCCACGCGGCTTCTCGGACAAACCCCCCGTGAGGGCACGCGGGGCGCGGACGCTGTGCCTGCAGCGGATGTATTTATCATCGCTTCGTCGTTCCACCCGCGCCCACGCCGTGGCACCTGTGTCCGTTTCTGCGAGATGAATAAATGGTTGGAAAATGCCAGGGCTCCTGAGGTCTGTGTGGGGCGCAGCCGGGTGAGGTGTCTCCTGGAGACCACACCTGGGCAGCCCCGCCTGCAGGGGCTGGAGCCCCGTCTGTGAGGGGGGACTTTGCTGACCCCGAGGGTCCTTCCAGTCACAACGGCGAAGTCAGGGGCCTCTGCATGCCCAAGAGGTGTGATCCAGGCCCCTGCCCGCTCCCTCCTGCCCTGGTCCCCTTGGCCTGGGGTGGTGCCCATCCTAGCGCGCCACCCAGCACCCCTTCGTGCCCACACGCAGCTTCCTACCAGTGAAAGGTGGGAGTCACCATTTGTAGACGCAAACATTTCCTTTCACAGTTGGCACGCGACATGAGCAGGGGTCCCAGTGTTGCTATTATGCTGTAAAGGTTCTTTAAACTGTCTTTTTCCTCTTAAAATCTTTATTCATGGGGAGATGTTGCTAAGAGAATATTCTTCTTTAAATATGCTTTTGAATTGATTTATAGAGAGAGAGGGAGAGGGAGAGCGATAGAAGCATCAGTGATGAGAGAAACATCGACCGGCTGCCTGCTGCACGCCCCACGCTGGGATCGAGCCTGCAGCCCGGGCCTGTGCCCTGCCGGGAATCGAACCCTGCCCTCCTGCTCCCAGGCTGGCTGGGAGGACAAGTTTATCTTCATAAAGAAGAGTGCGCTGTGCGTGGTTCTTCAGAGCCATCAGCCAGGCAGGTTGGGGACCACCCTTTGAGCCCCGTGTGCCCCGGGGGCGCTGAGGCCGGTGGGGGGCTCGGCGGGAGTGAGCTCTCCCCACAACCTGCCCCGCGCCCGGCGGCTCCCTGCGTCCCTCCAGTTGTGAGTGGCCCAGAGTCCTGTGCGTCCCCACAGGGGGACCTTGTTCCATCGGGACCCGGGAGGGGGCGAGACTCCCCCCAGGGCCCCAAAACCTCTCAGTGGTGACCCTGGTGCACCCACTCCTCAAAGCGCCCGAGTGCCTGCCGGGTGCCAGGTTCTCTCCTAGGTGCCGGGGTGGGGGTGGGGGCGCGCTGACCCCGTCCTCCTCGGGCAGCCCCTGCCAGATGGAGAGGAAACCCCACCGTCACCACCGATGGTGACTGCTCTCCTTCCTGATGTGGCCCAGGGCCCCATCCCCCCTGCGGTAGGGGCGCCACACCCCCCCTGAGGTCGGGGTTCACTGTCCCCCCCTAAGGTCGGGGCGCCCCATCCCCCCTGAGGTCGGGGTTCACTGTCCCCCCCTGAGGTCGGGCTCCCCGTCCACTGTGGCAGAAGATCTTCACAAGCAGTGGCGCCGAGGCGATGCCCCGCGTCAGCCAGAATTGGGAGGTGGGTCCCTCGTGGGGTCGGTGGGCAAGGCCTGCAGGACCCGGCGGCTGGTGCCTCGGTTTCCCCACCTGCAGAGGTGGAGGCCCCGCTCTGACTCGGGCCGTCACAGGCAGGGCCGCTCACTGACCGGAAACGGAGGCCAGACTCTCGCGAAACCTCTGGGTTTCCCCCGTGACTCTCAGGCTGTGATCCTGAAGGGGCGACGCTTGAAAAGCAGTTCACGAGGGGCCCTCCGCTGTCGGGGGCTGGGGGCCGGGGGCGTGGCCGTCTGCCCCTGTCTGTGCGGCCAGGGCTGGGGTCTGGCTGCTGTGGTCACTCAGTCACTCAACAACCACCTCTGTCTTCTCAGCGCCAGCCCCTCTGTTCACACGGAGCCACGTGCCACCACCCGGGTGCCTGTGGGCAGGACGCAGGGCAGGGGCTGTCCCGGCCCCCGAAGGCCTTCTCGGAGCTGCCACTGGGCCTGCTGGTGAGATGCCACCCAACCTGCTTCTCTGTGCACATTGGGCGCGACTGCAGTGCTCTCGGAAAAGGCTGCCCGGCCCAGCGGGACCCCCCCAAACTTGAACAGGGACACAGCGGGACACCCCAAACCTGATCAGGACACACCGGGACCCCCCAAACCTGATCAGGACACAGCGGGACACCCCAAACCTGATCAGGACACAGCGGGATCCCCCAAACCTGAGCAGGGACACAGTGGGACCCCCCAAACCTGAGCAGGACACAGTGGGACCCCCCAAACCTGAGCAGGACACAGTGGGACCCCCAAACCTGAGCAGGACACAGCGGGACACCCCTAAGTCTGAGCAGTGAGGCCTCCTTGGGCTCACGTACAACCTAGGAAACAGTTTCTCTACCTCCCCCCACTCCCCGCCTCAGGGCAGGGTCCCTTCAGCGCAGGGTGAGCCGGCCCCACCCCCGGGCGATACACGAGCGCCTGATGAGCTGGACATGCGTTTTCCCGGGAACAGTGAGGTCAGGGGTCAGGTTCCTCTCCCAGGACTCGCTGCCCAGAAGCTGCTGCCTTTACAAGCGTTTACTCTGTAAGACAGGCCTGTGTTGCCCTGGTCACGGGGTTCCCCTCACAG